TCGTCACTACCCCTGCCCCCACACTCACCCCTGCCACCGCCCGAACCCTACCTCCATACCCACCTACACACCGACCCCTGCCCCTGCCACCACCCTCACCTCCAAACTCACCCCCACCCCCACCCACTATTACCCCCACCCCTACCTCCACTTCGACTGTGGCGGGATTGAATGCATCAGAGGTCCATGTTGCCTCTATCGGGCAATAGTTGATAGACAATGGCTACTGCATCAAGCTTATCAGTAACACATAAGTTTTTTTTAAAGATATTATTAGTAATATTTTTTATTTTTTCAATTGAAGATAAAACTAATAAATTGTAGTTTTAGGGGTCTACCCTCCAAACTAGACTATTCATGTCATTTGGGATGTCATTCAGAGGAAGTAAGACTCATCATACTTGTCATGGAAGGAGATTCCGATGACCATTTGAGATCTTTGATTTTAGGAGTTTGTGGTAAGTATCATTCACTAATAATTTAAGTTATTTTATTTTGTTTATTAATTGAACATAATCACTGTAATATTTGCAGAAACAATTTTCCTGTTGCCATGAGCATGAGGCTTACATCGAGTGCATTGGCAGTAATCGCCTTCGGGACATGTTTGAAGATATTTGGGAAATCATAACAGCATCCTCTATGGCTTGGAGAGTAATTACCATGCTGCTTAGGGCCTGAGATTCTTTAGATTGTTAGAGGAAGAGGGAGCAAGCAAGACAGAAGAGGCGGTCGGACTATGGAGGTGTGGAGCCCTCCAAGCATACTGGTGGAGCCTGCCACATACAGAATACAAGCGGAGACTGATAAGATTTCATTTATTCTACAAGATTTTATATAGCTTAAAGATGTATTCTAACTATTTTATTCGATGGACAGACTGTGGAGGCTGGACGAGAGCCCTACGCCGCCAATGTACATGAGTGCAACCACAGGGGGTGATCCGACTCTTCATATATCGACGATAGATCCCGTGTGATCCAGGTAATAGGTAATTAAGGGGGTGATCCGACTCTTCATATATCGACGATAGATCCCGTGTGATCCAGGTAATTAACAAGCTAAACTAGTTTGATGTTAATACATGTTAGCTCTAACTGAATGTAACTACTTTTATTTGCATGAGAGATTCTAGCAGTTGAAGGAGAGCTAATCCAAGGTGATGAGAGGTATTATGATTCACGAGCCTGATCCTTCTGAATATGACCTATGGAGGGAGGCTGCTAGAAGGAAGAAAAATATTTGAGTCTACGTGCTTGGGTCACAAAGGTATGTCTGCAACGCTCACCCCTCAACCAGTGCATCTGCAGCTTCTATTTCTATCACACAGGATGAAGTGATCTCCAAGTGTGTTACGACATTCTCTGTCGAGATGAAGGCCTGCTTCTCTTATGTGAGGTCGGAGCAGGAGGCCAACATGGAGGACAAGTTGAAGGTTGAGGATTCCTTCCAGCAGTGGATAAAGGAGTATGGCAAGACAACGACAACATTACAGGAAGAGGAAGTGGCCGAGGTCGATAAAGATGAGGTTGACAAGATAAATGATGATGATTAGGAGGGCATTTTTATTTTTTTTTTCTTTTATGTCTACGCATATTTGGACACATTTCTCTATGAATAGTGATGTATATTTTTTAGAGTAAATACATTTTATTTATTTAATTACTTGCTAGTGTTTGACAACTATGTTATTTCATTAAATACTTGGAATTGTATATTAAATATTATGATAACAGATGTAGTAATATAATATGAAAGAATGAATTTGTTTTTCTATGCTTATGTTGCAGGTTTCCAATGGCTTATCATTGGTTTTGTGACAGTTCTATACTTATCAATAAACAAAACCGACAGCTAGCTGATGAACATTTTTAACGAAACCTAATTGACACATAATGGACGCATAAGGTGCGTCACACAAAAACGACGTGCACGATACTTTTCTGATAGTTAGCCCATCAGAAATAGATAACGATGCATAAACAATGCTGAACCAACAGTTTTACCTGAGTCAAAACTAACGGGTGCGATGTTTTTCTGATAGTTATCCCGTCGGTTATAGAAAAAAACACATAAATAATGCATAACCGACAGCTTTGCTTGCTTCAAAAAATTGATTGGTGCGACAGTTTTCTGACGTGTATGTCGTCACTATCACTAACGGAGGAACTATCTGTGATACAAATCAATGATTACTGACGGCTCAAATTTTCTTAAAAAAATTATGATATTAAATTGTTGGATAACCGTATGTACATTTATACCGTCAGAATATCGATCAATTTTAGAATTACAGATAAACATTTTACCAAAGAGTTTAAAACTGTCAGTAACATTAAATGCGATGGTTTTTTTATCATAATCGACAAATTGTGGTCGTCAGATAAAACCTAAATTCCTGTAGTGGAAACTTCTTATGGAGTTGGGATGGCTTATGCATCAACTTTGTGTCGAAAAACTTGACACAAATACATTACTTGCCAGCATCAAAATAATGCGACAGAACATTGACACAAATGACCTAATTTGCACATCCCACACGCTTAAATTTCATTTTCTCTCCATGCTTGATCTCTCCCTCTGTTAGAAAGCCTCGTGCCTTCCTTTCTTCCCTTTCCCTCTCCATCACGGCTTTGTTCAAATCCATCTCATAGTTCTCATCCTTTCGCTCCGCTCTAATAAAAAAATAGTGAGGAAGGTAATTCTATTTGTGCTAGTCTTTATCATTTAATTTTTGTTTAGTGAAGTGGAACTTTCATAGATAAAGTTTAGGAGATGTGTATGTATGAAAATATTTGTGTGATGTGTGTCTTATCCAAGTGCATAGGTAATGTGACGTGCATGTCCAAATTGAAGTTTAGGTTTTAGATATGTATGTATGTATGTATGTATGTGTGTGTGTGTGTGTGTGTGTATATATATATATATATATATATATATATA